CGCAACCGAAATTGACTCAAATTTTCGGACCCGCCCTTTCCTCCCCTCTGATGATGTAGGTACAAGTCGATGATGACCGAACAAAAAATTATACCATTTCTGTTGGTTTCACTAATTCCAAAATCAATTTACCCTCGCTATGGCCATTGCAAAAAATCATGGCATAAAAAGAGATATGGAACATATGGTAAACCATAAATTGGAAACCAAAATCTAAAAGTGAAGATCGGGCCTATCAAGCTATTGCTGATGAAACTCAAGAATCTTCTACCAACAAAGGTACAATACCTTTCACCAAGGAGCAACCAAAGCACTTGAACAATTTGTTTTAATCTCCAAAATTGTCACTGACTCCGTCTGGCTCTTTAGTACCGAAGGGTAACTCTTTAGCCACCACATTATTAGGTATTATATGTTCTTGGATAATTGATTTTGGTATAACTGATCATATGACTGGTTGTTCTAAATTATTATCATCTTATAGACATTGTGTATGTAATAAAATGGTCAAAGTTGTTGATGGTTCCCTCTTGGCAGTTGCCGAGAAAGAAACTGTCAAACTCACATCATTGTTGATCCTTCGTAACGTGCTCCATGTTCTCAATTTGTTTTGTAATCTATTATTCATTAGTAAAATTACTTCTGATTATCAGTGTCAAATTAATTTTAACTCCCCTTGTTGTAAGTTTTAGTTTTTGACCACTGAGAGGATGATTTACAGTTTTAAGGAAAATGATTGACTATTATTTTGACGATAGAGTTGATGTGAATAAAAAAAATTAAAATACTTGTTTGATATAAGATTTTATTTCCAAAGACAATGATATTATGCTATGATATTATAGTTTAGGTCATCATAATTTCTAGTATTCAAAATTCTTCTTTTGTAGTTTATTTCAAAATAAAAAGTTGTCATCTTTCCAATGTGAAGTCAGTCAATTTGCCAAAAAATTGTGCGTTTTCTCCTTACCAAATTTACAAAATAACTACACATTTTACTCTGATTTATAATTATATTTGGAGTACTTATAAACATTTAAAAATAATTTGTTACTTTTACTAATGATCACACACGATTAAGTTTGGTATATTTAATGAAAAAAGCCTTAAGTGGAAATAATTTTAAAAATTTTTACACTTTGAACAAACACAATTTCAAAAAACTATTCAAATATTACAGAGCAATAATAATCAAGAGTCTTTCAAAAAATATTTTAAGTCGATTTTTTTTTAAGGAATATTTTATCATACTCGACACCCCAAAACAAAATGGTGTGGTTGACAGAAAAAATAAATACTTATTGGAAGCAGCTCGGGCATTGCTATTTATAAATTATGTGTCAAAATATTTTTGCAGTAAAGTTGTTCTTTTTTGCTTCATTTTTTATTAATAGAACACCCAATAAAATATTAAACTTTGAAACATAAAGAAGCAGAAAGTTGCCCACAAAAAAAGAAAAACTTTGAAACACCTAATATTTTTTTAGAAAATTTACCCAACAAGTTGACCTTCTTCTGATTTACCTTTAAAAAGATTTGGGCGTACTGCAATTATTCACATTCAATCATAATCAAGGAAAACTTGAACCCCAAGTTATAAAATATTTGTTTGTTGGCTATGCTCAAACCCAAAAGGGGTATAAATTTTTTGATCCTATTTCTAAAAAAAATTTTTTTTTTTTCATGTACGTCACCTTATTTGAATTATATCTTTTTTTTTCATCTTATCTTCAAAGGGCGAGGACAGAATAAAGATTTGACTATTGTTTTTAGAACTTTCTTCAAATCAATGACTCACAAAATATTATCTCTCCAACCTTGATTGTTCAACCTGAAATCCGAGCTATATTATATCGAAAAAAGTGTGTTGCTTTTTTAAGATATTGAAAACGATGTAGATCTTCCCATAGCGTCATCTCATGATATTCATAATCCTATAACTAACAAAGAGGAAACAAGGAAAAGAACTACGATATTAATACATTTGACATTGTCTACTTATGATGAAGGACAACTCAAAAGAAATAGTCTATAAATTCTTTGCATTGCCCATAATCCATTAATCATCCAGGTAATGTCCTCACAGTCTTTCCCCATGATCAGTCTACTTCATCTCCGAGTTCTTAGTCTTCTAGTTCTGAACCTGCGTCTAGCTCTAATCTGAAATCTAATGATTGCAGTCATCCATTGTTGGTTGTAAGGGCGTGAGGTCAATATTCATTGTCTCATTATATGTCATATGAAAAACTCTTACATATTCTTGGGTTTTTACCACATATTCATCTTGTATGGAGATTTTTAATACCATTTTGGATGCTCAAAAAGTTTCAAGGTTGAAGGAGGCTGTTTTGAGGAAAAAAACTCTCGAAAAGAATGACACATGGGAATTGGTTGATCTACCCAGAAGAAAGAAATCTATCTTATGCTAATGGGTGTTTACAGTCAAATATAATTATGATGAATCTTTAGAACGATGGAAAGCTCAACTGATTGCCAAGAGATTCACTCAGATCTATGATATTGATTACGTAGAGAGATTTGTCTCGGTGGTGGAACTAAACTCTACGAGAGTTCTTCTATCACTTGCAGCTAATCTTGACTGGCCTCTACAACAGTTGGAAATAAAAGAAACATTTCTCAATGAGGATTTAGAGGAAGTAGCTTAATGGATGGTCCAGGATTTAGTGAGAAGAAGTTTGACACAAAATGGTGCAAACTTAAAAAGTTCTTATATGGATTGAAACAATTACCTATAGCATGGTTTGAGATATTTATACTGTTTGCTAAAGGTCAGGAGTATACTCAAGGTCAAGGAGATCATACAATGCTTTTCAGACATTCGAATGATGGTAATATAACTATATCGATTGCGTATGTGGACGATATAATTCTCATAGAATATGACGTATATGAGATGAACCGGTTGAAGACTTTTCTGTCATCGATTTTTGAGATCAATGACTTAGGATATCTAAGATATGTACTTGGCATAGACGTTGCTAGATCGAAAAAAGGGATTGTTGTTTCCGAACATAAATATTTTCTTGGTCTTCTAAAGGAAACAAGGATGAGTGGTTGTAGGTCAACAAACATTCCAATTGATCCCAATCAGAAACTTGAACATGAGGAGGGTGACCCTGTGAATATAGTTTAATATCAAGAGTTGGTGGGAAGTTGATATACTTGTCACATGCATGGTCAAATATAGCCTTTGCTGTAAGTTTGGTAAGCCACTTTATGCATTCACCCACATTCAGAAACATCTTGAAGTTGTTATCAGGATTTTATGGTACCTTAAACGTACTCTAGGTAAGGGTTTACTTTTTAAGAAGACCACGCAACATAATATAGAGGCATACACTGATGCAGATTGAGCGAGCTCAGTTGTTGACAGAAGATTGACTTTCGGATACTACACTCATGTCCGGGAAAATTTGGTTACCTGGCGAAGTAAGAAATATAATATGGTGGAAAGGAGTAGTGTCGAGGTAGAATATCAAGTTATGGCTAATGAAGTATATGAGATGTTATGGCTGAAGAGAATTCTTGAAGAACTACGAATCCCGCTAAACATGCTAATGAAGTTGTACTATGACAATAAAGCTGCCATAAGCATTGCATAAAATCTAGTACAACATAATAGTACAACACATGTGGAGATTGATAGAAACTTCATAAAAGAGATGACTGATTTTTGAGCTATTTGCATACCTTTCACTCCGAGAACACAACAAATAACAGATTCACCAAAGAACTTTTCAGGCCTACTTCTGAGTTTCTTGTAAGCAATTTGGTCATGATATATATGTATTCTCCAACTTGTGGCGGGGTGTGGATTTCTTAGGAAGATATTAGTTTTAGTATTTTTTATTATTAGTATTTTATATTATTAGGATTTATAATTATTGGTATGTCATAATTCTGATTTCCTTCTTTCATTGTGTAGAATTATGGCTGATTTTATTACTTTCCTAATGGGGAGTCATTCTCCTCTATTTATCTTTTAATTGTTTTATATGAAATTGAAGAAGAATAATTTTTTTCCCTTCCAAATTTTACAACCCGTATATTTTGATGAGTTCCTAAAAATTAGTTTGATGAGTTAATACTGTAGAAAAAAAGAAAAAAAGAATCGAGCAGAAAAGATTGACGAGATTCAAAACTTATTTGGCAACTGCTTTAATTGTACAACATTGAGTCAGATCCAATTAAGAATTCTGAAGCAGAATAAGGATAATGAAATATTAAGATTTATGGTTCTCTTAGAGTAGATGCAGCTTTCTACAAATAGAAATATAAAATTGTGGTGGAGAAAGTAACTTTTTAGAAAGTTAATGTGAAAATTAAAAGAATTTCAAAAGATTAGACATCAACTTTCTTACAACTACCTCTTTTTAACAGCTCTGGTTATAAGAAGTAGATTCCCACCACAAAAATTTATTGCTAGTAGCAAAAAGTAGCTTTTCAAATAGAGTTATAATGACAGTTTAAAACGTAGGCAAAAACATTTTCAACGTAGGTAAAAAGCTGACCCGAACTTGCTCTTACACTGTACAAAAATATTGAGCTTGAGTGTAATTGGACTGAAAACTTGTATGGTGTTAAATTTTATTGATGAAATTTGTTCTTAATTTAACAAGCCATGAATGTGTCCTTACGTTTGGTGGCCCACTAATGTATCATTCCTTGACTAGCTATCTTAGATAATATATATGCATAAATTCTTTCTGCATGGATCCAATTATAATTGGATGTCAGAAAAAAATTAGAAAAAAAAATTTGCTTGTAGCCTGCTGATCCGGCGGCATAATTTGATCAACCATTAAACTTTTTTCTTTTAAATATTTTTATGTTCAGCAATAAATGACCCACTAGGAATCCCTTTCAGAAGATTTGCTGAAAACACTTAAACTATGTGAACATCATAAGTGTCAACATCGATCAAAAGACAATTTTATTGATAGGATGAAACCAAAACATAAACATTTTGATTTCTGCAGGTGCCTCCGAAGGAGATTCCAACACATAAGAGCTCGGGCCTGCCACTCAACGTTTACTTGCTCCATAACTTAGCTCATGTGGAGCTTAACGCCATGGACTTGGCATGGGATACCGTGGCTCGGTTTTCCACACTTTATGATTTGCTCGGAGATGAGTTCTTTTCTGATTTTGCTCATGTTGCAGATGATGAAAGTCGGCACTTTGAATGGTGTTCGCAAAGACTAAATGAGCTTGGTTTCAGGTGAGGGTGATGCTTCATTTTTTTCGTGGATGAAATGGTTTTAGGTGCCTAAGATGTTCTCTTTTCTGTTTCTTCTTGCTATCTTGCCATCATGGTAAAGTGCTGAATCCTACTAAACCCTTTCAAAAAGGTTAATTGATGTACTGTTTCCATAAAAAAATTGACTTTGATTCTTGATTAGCTCATATGTTTATGGTTATATTATATCAAATTACTCTCTTTCTAAACTAGATAAGGACGACTTGTTGTAGCTAGCGTCCCATCTAAATGGTCTTCTTGCATATTTTTTCCTTGTAGCTTGCAATCATGACAATGTGTTGAATCCACTAAACCCTTTCAAAAAGATTAATTAATTCTACTTTTATTAAAGACAAATTAACTTTTAGTGTTGAATATTTTACTTGGTTCTGGTTCTTTTGTATCAAATTATTTGCTTTCTTAGTGGAAAAGGTCTACTTGTCGTGGCTAGAGTCCTGTGTATCTTTTTTTTTTTGTTCCTTTGTGTTACACTTAATAGAGATCTTTGTATGAGCTTAGCTACAGGAAAAATATTGTATTTTGTTTAGCATTCAACCTGAGGTTTCTTTGCTCAATGTTTTATTCTGCTCGAGAAAGGTAGAAAGGAAATGCCATTGGATAAGTGAAAGACACGAATAGAACAGGACTGATTTTTTTTTTTTTTTTTTATGTTTGGAGAGAAGATAACAATTTGCACTAATAATTTTTTGAATAAAAAAGATAAATTTTTCATTGAACATCCACAGGAAAACCCCAATTAACAATGAAATAAAGTAGAAAACCAGAAAACTAAGCAGATAAACAGTAAACAATTCAGCAGGTGCAACCAAATTCTATCTCTTCACAACCAAGGCTAAATAAGTACCTTATAATGCAAGATGCCCTGATATCAAATTAGTTGCAGATCCCTTCCGATTGAAACACTTCAAACCGACAACTACATTTTCTGCTTCGAGGGTATATTCTGCTCCAGATTTGACTCTGCGATCTGGACACTAATTTTGACTTTTTGGATCCTTTGATGGTTGGTGAGGCCAAAACACTGGCACAATTATTTAGGAATTCATTGTTTAACTTGATATCGGTTCTGTGTTCTCCGTAATCATCTTTTGGTTACATTTTTCCAGATACAACAGTGGACTAAAAACAAACCATGTTCATACTCCACCTTCTCCCTCTCATGACCAGCTCCAAATAAAGTCCAATGCTTCTATTTTCTTGAGCATTTATGCAGAAATATCCTAACCCCAGCAATGATGCCATCCTTTAGAGTAAATGATCAGCACTCTTTCTGTCACTAGAGATTAGCTTACAACTGGCTGACATGCACTGTCATCTTCAAATCAATTGGCTGAAATGAACGTCATGAGCTATAATTTCCGCACTCTGTTGACCATGAAATCTACCAAAGAAATCTAGAGGGAACCCCATGGACCCTGGCTTGCTTTCCCGAACTTCACTTGGCTGAAGTTTGTCTCCTTTAAGAATAGATTAAGGGAGCTTCTCCTAGCTGTTCATCTCATTGGCTAGCAGCATAGCAGGATGAGTTCTTAGCTAGTAGATTGGATTTGTTCGTGTGGATGGTTTATGCTTGAAGAAGTCAACTTCCATGATAGAATTTCACGTATTATCTTTTACAAGGATGCTTTACAGTTGTACTTCTGGCCTCTTATATTTTTTAATCTAAAAGTCAACTTCGATTTTCAACTCAAAAAATATATTTTTTTCTTTATGCTATACATCTATCATCCATTTCTTAGATAATTATTTCTTATTTGTAACTACAGATGGGTGATTTTACACTTTTTTCTTTCTTGCAATCTTGAGATATAATTAAGTTTAATGAAGAATAAAAAATCACAAAGTTATTGTTAATTTTAAAAGTGGAAATTTTCTTCTTTTTTGGTGCTTCAGCTATGGAGACATGCCTGCACATAACTTTCTATGGAGAGAGTGCAATAAATCCAGTGGAGATGTTGCTGCACGACTGACAGTTATACCATTGGTTCAGGTGGCTATTAATTCTTAAGGGATACTTCAGTCAATTTTTTGTTTGGATGGTTAGGTGACCTTATGATTAGTAGTTTTTCTCTTTGGTACAATTATTTTCTGCTTAATTGTTTAGGGGAAGTGGGGGATTTTGGTTTTGTATCTTGAAGAAAATGAGATTAGTAAGCTTATCAATCAAATTGTTTCTCCTCCAACCAATGAACAATTGTGGAAAAAAAAGGCTAACAATGTGATCAACATGGGCTATATTCCTTTGTGCAGAATTTATACAAATCAAATTACCAACAATAGTAGGATATAAAATTGATTGAGTCAATGATGTACCATAAGAAGAAGAATAACAAATATTGAGCTCAAGTTGGGCATCAATAGTGCTAGTATCAATAAGAAAGTACACTCATTGATATCCACTGTATACTTGGACTGTGAGAGAAGATAAGTTTTGGAAGAACTAGCCACATCAATACGTGTGAAATGACATAAAAGACTCGAATATTTCATTTTAAAATGAGAAGCTAATTTCAACTTCTAACATAGCATTCTCATCAAATATCATTTATAATAATTATACCATCCACATTTAAAGAAAATGAAATAGTATCAATAGGTGTGCACTTAAGAAAGACTATAGAGTCAATGCAGAGACATGATCGTTATAATAAAACCAAAATGATGTAGCACAGTAGAGAAATTCTTAAATCAAGCTCAGGTTATACAATACTTTCTTAAGCTTGTAAACTTCACCAAGGTAGTGAGAAATAGTAGGAGGGGAACTGTGTACGCCTCTACTTGAAATATGCTATTCAATAAGGTATGTTTTATATCCATCTGAGATATATGCCATCGACAAATTGATGCAACTGCAATAAGAATAAGAATAGTAGTCATTTTTGTAATTAGAGTAAATGTCTTCTCATAATTCATTACATTCTATTGAGAAAACCTTTTAGCAGCTAGTCATACTTTATACCACTAAATAATCTCATTTTATTTTGTTTTGATCTTATACACCTAAGAAGCATCAATAGCCCTTTTATCTATAGACTAATGTAAGAAATTCTATATTTTCATTTCTACATTACATAAAGTTCCTTAGCCGTTTCCTGCTACTAAAGAAGATATTGAACAATATCTTTTATAAGATCAATACTCAGAAATTATTTATAGGATCTAAGAAGGATATAAAATTATAAAATAAGAGAGTAAATAAAATTTAGTAATTGAATTGATTTATAAGCATATTAAGAATAGTGAGGCTTAGGACTTACTGTTTCAAGTGATGTTAGGGTGATCATAGGAAGAGATAAATTAGTCGTAGCATCAATAATGAAAATACTAACATGTACAAAAATTGTATCTAATACTGCAATTGCCGGGTCCCAAGCCCTCGGTATGAAAAGTGAACTGTTGCTTAGGTAGTCGACAACCAGCATAAAATTTGTCGAAAAATCATGACATGAATATTTTAGATCATTGTGTAAGTACTAGGGCGCCCCCATAGAAGCAATGCGTTGTATGACCTGAATAATGTGAAAAGTGTGCAAAGGCCGCTATATTGGTGCCCGGGTGTAGTGTCAAATGAGCAAGAGTTCTCACATTACAGACAGATGTTTATAAAGAAGTTAGTTCATGAAACTAATATTACGGTAAAACATGGAATATATGTTCTCTCATAGGTAAATTAATAAAATTAGTTGATATTCTGGTTCATAGGAAGATAAATATCTTATGTATTCAAGAAATAAAATGTGTTGGAGAAAAGGCTAAGGAGATTCTTAGCTTAGGTTTTAAACTTTGGTATTCAGGTAGGAGTCGCACTAGAAATGGTGTAGGTGTAATTATAGATAAGAGTTTGAAAAATGATGTTGTAAAAATTAAACGAATTGGAGATAAAATTATAGCTCTTTCAATGGTTAATGATACTAAAATTTTTAATGTTATAATCGCTTATGCTTCTCAAGTTTAGATATAAACTCTAAAAAAAATTCTAGAATAATCCAAAAGAATTAATACAAGTGATACCTTTTGAATAAAGAATTGTTATTGAAGGAGATTTAAATGGTAGAGTGGTAGAAGATTTCAGAAATATTGATGGTTGCTACCATTTTTGAGTGATTAATGAAGAAGGTAATCATATTAGATTTTCTTTAACGTATGATTTTGTTATTGCTAATATTTTATTTATGAAAAGAGCCGAACATATTATCACTTATAAGAATAGATATAATAAAACACAAATTAATTACTTTCTTATGAAAAGAAGAGATCGTTGAGAATGTAAAGATTATAAGGTCATTCCAAGTAAGAATTTAAGTACTCAACATCAATGATTAGTATTGTATTTTAAGATGAAGAGTTGTAAGATAAAAATATTAGGATTTATGTTATAGAATTTTAGATGATAGCGCCTAAAAGACCAATAAAATTATTTTTATGAGTAAACTTCATTATTTCAAGATTTGAGATGTTCATGAAGAAACAAATTTCATGTGAGATAAAGTAACAAACACTATTAAACAAGTGAAAAAAGATGTACACAGAGAATCAAAGAAAAAAAAATCCTATAAATAAAAATAGTTGGTGGTTGAATGATACTGTACAAGAAAATATAAAATATAAGAATTTGTGTTATAAAAATTGGTTTAAATATAAAAGCTTAGAGAATTGAAATAAATATAAGGTAACCCGCAGGGAGTTCAAGAGAACATTTTGTGATGCTAAAAATTTTACTTTTAGTGATCTTTAAAATACATTAACTACTAAAGTGGGTGAAAAGTATATATATATATAAACTAGCCAAAGAAAGAGAAAAGAAAAGTAAAGATTTAACCTAAGTGTATTAAAGATGAAAATCAAAAAGTATTTTTCTTAAAGGAATGTATCCAACATAGGTGGGTGAACTATTTTCATAAACTTTCTAATAAATTTTTTGAAAATGCGATCGATCTTAGTGATTTTAATATCATTAATAATACTAAAATGTTTTATTTTTACCTCCACATTAGTAAAAAAAAGTTGAAGTGGCTTTAAAAAATCCAGGGGTGGAAAGTCAATAGGACTTGATGATATCCCCATTGAAGTGTAAAAATATTTAGGAGATTTAAGAGTTGCTGGCTTACTACACTCTTTAATATATTTCAAAAACTAAAAGATGCCTAAGTGGAGGAAGAGCATTTTAGTTCCCATTTTTAAGAATAAAGGGGATGCATTGGAGTTTGCAAATTATAGAGGAATTAACTTGATGTGTCATACTTTAAAATTATTGGAGAGGGTATTTAAGATGTGTTATATAGATTTCTCATAATCAATTTGGATTCATGTCGGGCAGGTCTACCATGAAAGCTATATATTTATTGAGAGGTTTGATGGAGAAGTACAGAGAGAATAATGAGGATCTGCATATGATTTTTATTGATTTAGAATAAGCTTACAATAAGGTTCCAAGAGAAGTCCTTTGGAGAGTTCTAGAGAAGAGTTCTTGGAGAGTTCTAGAGAAGAAAGGTATTGATATGACTTATATTCAAGTCATTAAAGATATATATATTAGAGTTGTTACTTGTGTTCGAGCAAAAGGAGGATGTACCAAGTATTTTCCTATTTCGGTTGGATTTCATTAGGGATCGACCTTAAGCCCATATCGTTTTGCTTAGTTATGGATGCTCTTACTTTGGACATTTACCGAAGGATGTACCTTGGTGTCTGCTTTTCGTTGATGATATCCTTCTTGTGGATATGACTAGAGAAAGAGTCCAGAATAACTTGAATTATGGAGGTCTAAATTTGAGTTTCAAAACCTTCATTTTGTAGAACTGAAACTGAATACATGGAATGTAATTTTAGTAGTAGTAGTTCTAATGGCAGAGTTGTAATTATGTGTATCAAATCATCAAGAAGTGTGAACATTTTAGATATCTCGGGTCTAGATGATGGTGATATTAATGGGCATGTTATTGGTAGAATTCAAGTTGGCCGGTTGAAGTGGAAGAATGCATCAGGCCTATTGTGTGATAGAAAAGTACTGATTAGTCTGAAAGGAAAATTTTATAATAGGTTGGTGAGACGTGCAATGCTCTATGGCGCAAAATGTTGACCTGTAAAGGAGAAGCATAAAACAAAGTTAAGTGTTACTGAGATGAGGATGCTTAGGTGGATCAATAGCTTGACACTTATAGACAAAATGACAAAATGCGAAATGAATATTTCTGTGATAGGGTTGGTGTAGCCCCAGTGGCGGACAAAATTAGATAGAGTCGTCTTAGATGGTTTGGCACGTTAAACGTCGCTCATTTGATGATCCGATTAGGAGAGTAGATGTTTTAGATTTGACTTATGTTAAGAAAGACAGAGGTAGATCTAAAAAAACTTGCTCATGTTGTATAAATAATGATCTTACTTTATTAAAATTAAATGAAAATATGATACTCAATAAGACAATGGAGAAAAAAGATTCATGTAGGCGACCCTACTTAGTGGGATAAAGGCTTGTCGTTGTACAAAAATGTTGTCTAAATCATCAATGAAATGATCAATTTGAACAAGATCAAACCTAGGTACATCATGAGATTTAGTTGAAATAGAAAAAAAAATGAGTTTATATTAGAGTTATCACTTTTAAACATAAGCAATGTTTATATTATTATATTTTGTTAATATTCATTATTGGAATTGATTGTATATCATTATGATAAATCCTCATTATTGATAATATAATTTTTATTATATTTTTTTATTGCTCTTTTCCTATCTATTATAATTCCAACTTACTTTTTGTGGTATTAGAGCAGTGATTGGAAGAAGTTTAATATGATATATGAATTTGGAGATCCAACTTTATGATGAGTTGGATAGGTGCTTGTAGGAGCATATAGCCATATAATTTTTCCAATAATGATATGTTTGGGATGTAGGGTGATGGGACCTTATTAATGGAATAGATAATTGTAAGAAACACTGCCCCGTTGAATTCATCTAAAATAGGAAAATAATAAGAGAGTAGCAATT